TCTTCGATTTGCAATGGTTGTTGTTGGTGGAATTATGTGTGAAATTTCACCCCTTTGTTCTTTTGGCTGTGCGTAGAGAGGGATTCTCTAATGCCTATGTTTTTCTGGTTGTAGTTAGCTTCCTTGGGTTTGAGTTTTCCTTCCAAATTTTTCTGTAGGGCTGGGTTAGTGGACACATATTGCTTGAATCTAATTTTGTCATGGAATATCTTGTTTTCTCCGTCTATAGTGATTGAGAGCTTTGCCGGGTCTAGTAGTCTGGGCTGGCATCCATGGTCTCTTAGTGTAGGCAGAATATCTATCCAGGACCTTCTGGCTTTCAGAGTTTCCATGGAGAAATCAGGTGTAATTCTGATAGGTCTGCCTTTATATGTTACTTGACCTTTTTCCTTAGCTGCTCTTAATATTCTTTCTTTATTCTGTATGTTTGGGGTCTTGATTATTATGTGGCAAGGGGATTTTTTGTGGTCTACTCTATTTGGTGTTCTGTAGGCTTCTTGTACCTTCATTGGCATGTCTTTCTTAAGGTTGGGAAAGTTTTCTTCTATGATTTTGTTGAATATGCCTTCTGTCCCTTTGAGGTGGATTTCTTCTCCTTCTTCTATACCTATTATTCTTAGGTTTGGTCTTTTCATGGTGTCCCATATTTCCTGGATGTTTTGTGTTAAGGATTTGTTGGATTTAAGGTTTTCTTTGGTTGATAAATCCATTTCTCCTAGCGTATCTTCAACACTTGAGATTCTCTCTTCCATCTCTTCTATTCTGTTGGTAATGCTTGTATCGGTAGTGCCTGGCTGTTTGTCCAGCTTTTCTATTTTCTGCCTTTCTTCAGATTGTGTTTTTTTTAATGTCTCTATTTCAGTTTTGAACCCTTGCAGTGTTTGCATTGCTTCTTGCAATTTTCTGTTTATCTTTTCGTCCATTTGTTGCCTTTTATGAATTTTTTGGTTTGGGATTGGGAGCTCTGTGCAGTTCCCAGGCGATCTGCAGGCACTGGAACACAGGCAGGGAAGCCGGCCTGTTTACCTGATGCTGCCAGTGGAATAGCTGGTTCCCTGGACTCCCAGCCTCCTCTGGTTCCCTGGTCTCGTTGGTGGGAGAGAAGACCTGGAGTCTGGGGTGCTTGGCTTCCGCCGGGACTGGGAGCTCTGTGCAGGGGGTCTTGATCAGTCCCATGCTGGATTCCCAGGCTGATGCCTGGGATTCAAGAGTTAACCTTTTTCTGGTCAGCTGTTTCTGGGGTTAAACCATCCCAGTCTTAATCCCTTTTGTCATCAGTCCTGCCTCTCTGTCACTAGATTCTTTGAGTTCAGCTCAGTGTTTAGCTGTAGAGTATGCCTCTGCTTTCATCATCCATTGAATGAAGGTTCTGTTTCCCAGACTCTCTGGCCATGGGATTGTAGGCTGGCACTCTCCAGATCTATGTCTAAAATCCATATATGAGAGAGTACATGCCATGTTTCTCTTTTTGTGACTGGGTTACCTCACTCAGGATGGTTTCTTCTAGTGTCATCCATTTGCCTGTAAATCTCAGGATTCCATTGTTTTTTTCTGCTGAATAGTACTCCATTGTGTAAATGTACATTTTCTCTATCCACTCTTTGGTTGGGGGTCATCTAGGTTGCTTCCAAGTCTGGCTATTACAAATAATAATGCTATGAACATAGTGGAACAGGCATCCTACTTGTATGAATGGGCTTCTTTTGGATATATGCCTAAGAGTGGAGTTGCTGGGTCTTATGGTAGGTTTATTCCCATTTTTTCTGAGGAATCTCCATATTGATTTCCAAAGTAGCTGTACAAGTTGACACTCCCACCAGTGGTGAAAAGTTCCCCTTTCACCACATCCTCTCCAGCATAAAGTGTCCTTGGTGTTTTTGATTTTAGCCATTCTGACAGGAGTGAGATGGTATCTCAGAGTTGTTTTGATTTGCATTTCCCAGATGGCTAAGGATGTTGAGCACTTTCTCAAGTGCCTCTGAGCTGTTTTAGTCTCCTCTATTGAAAATTGTCTATTTAATTCTGTAGCCCAGTTTTTAATTGGATCCTTTGGTGTTTGGGAGACTTGCTTCACGTGTTATTTGTAAATTTTGAAGATCAGCCCTCTGTCAGATGTGGGGTTAGTGAATATGTTTTCCCATTGTGTGGGCTGCCTTTTTGTCTTGCTGACTGTGTCCTTTTCCTTACAGAAGCTTCTCAGTTTCAGGAGGTCCCATTTATTAATTGTTGATCTCACTGTCTGTGCTACTTGTGTTATGTTCAGGAAGCTGTCTCCTGTACCAATTTGTTCAAGGGTACACTTTCTCTTCTAAGAGGTTCAGTGTGGCTGGATTTATCTTGAAGTCTCTGACCCATTTGGACTTAAGTTTCTTACATGGGGATAGATATGGATTGACCCGCATTCTTCTGCGTGTCAGTATCTAGTTATGCCAGCACCATTTTTTGAAGATGCTAATTTTTTCCATTGTATATTTTTAGCTTCTTTGTCAATGATCACATGTTCGTACGTGTGTGGGTTAATACCCGGGTTTTCAGTTCGATTCCATTGGTCTACCTGTCTATTTTTGTGCCAATACCAAGCTGTTTTCAGGACTATAGCTCTATAATAGGGCTTGAGGTCAGGGATGGTGATGCCTCCGGACGTTGCCTTGTTGAACAGGGTTGTTTGGGCTATCCTGGGACTTTTGTTTTTCCATACAAAATTGATTATTGTTCTTTCAAGGTCTGTGAAGAATTGTGCTGGTATTTTAATGACCTCTTCCTTTCCAATCTGTATCCCCTTGATCTCCTTTTTTTTCATATAGCTCTGGCTAGAACTTCAAGTACAATATTGGCAAGGCATGGATAGAGTGGACAGCCTTGTCTTGTTCCTGATTTTAGTGGAATTGAGTTGAGTTTCTGTCCATTTAGTTTGATGTTGGCTGTTGGTTTGCTGTATATAGCTTTTATTATGTTCAGTTATGTTCCTGTTATCCCAGATCTCTCCAAGACCTTTATTATGAAAGGGGTGTTGGATTTTTTTCTATATTTAGTTCTACACCTCACATTTTAATTGGATCCTTTTGTGTTTCAGACACTTGCTTCTTGAGTTCTTTGTAAATTTTGGAGATCAGCCTTTTGTCAGATGTGAGATTAGTGGAAATGCTAAATTTAAAAGAACAAAATAACTTGGGTTCCTCAACAACTTTAGACAATATCAAAGTGTGCTGTGGCCAAAAATTTGCTATTAGTTTCTCTGAATGATAATTGACAGGTACTTGCTCTCCCTCCTTTCCTCTCCTCTCCCCATTCTCTGACACACACACACACACACACACACACACACACACACACACCTCCTCTCTTGAACCAATGTAGTATTAATTTTGTCCGATGAATTTATGCATATTAACGGCATAACTTTACAAATTGGCCAGACTTAGATCATATCTATAACTCTTTCAACCAGAACTTTTGTATTCTGAAACATTTAGTTTTCTGAATCAGCTTTAACTTTATTCTGAAACATTTGCAAAATTTCTATAAAGCAACTAGAGTTTTAGTATGTGCTATACTAAAGATGACAATCTATTTTCTTAAATAAAATGAAAACTCTCTAGAGAAACACAATAACATTAGTCTTTTATTTAAATAGTCCTTATTTCTTTACCTGAAGTATTTACATTTAGATGAGGGCAGTTCTAGACTTTTCAATGGAGACATCATCATTGTTGCAGATCTACAGATAAGATAATTGATGAACTGCTTGAATATTAAATTATACATTTATTTCCTATAGTTTTCCATACTGATACCTAGATTTGAACAAATATTCCTGATTTCATTTAGTTTAGTAATCTCTAGGTATCATCTTTGTTGCTTTTACAGTGCACAGGGATCATGATTATACTCATCCTACTATTTTATGATTTGAAAATCTTTTTAAAGACAGCTAATGCCATTATCTTATGGTTTTAGTGTGTAGTATGTGAAAGTAATGCTTCTGAGAATTGTACCATACATCTTCAAGCTTGAAAACAATTACATTGAAGTAATGTAGCTAAGAATTGTATTATACATTTTCAAGTTTGAAAACTCAAACTTCAGTTTCTCTATGTATCAAAATATGTATCATTATACATACTTAAGCAGAGTATTTCTATTGTTTTTTTCCAAGCCCTAAATATTTTTTAAATACATGGACTAGGCAAAAGGAAAAATAAAACCAAACAGCTTTCATTTTCTATTTCGTAGCACTATATAGCATCAGCATGTGGCTTTTATTCAGGTTTTATATATGAAAACACACAAATTTTAAGTTGAATACCAATGGTTATTGCTAGCACACACAAAATCTGTTGCGCACAGCTGTGTTTAAAAGAATAGTATTGTTTATAATGGACAATTTTAGATATTCAAATTGTTTTGACAGTCTGATAGGATTGCACTCTTTGAAAAAGTTTACACATTTTTGAAAATAATTATTGATGTAAAGTGAATTCCAATTTTCAAAATAGAGAATCATTTGTGGGCTTATTAAAGCAAAGTCATTAAATAAAACAAAAATCTCTTTTAACAACCAAGTGTATAAAATTATACATAATCTCAATTACCCATTATGATAATATGCCTACATTATCTAAACCAAAGAGAAATTTTAAATAAAATAATGAAGCATGTCCCAAAAGAAATGAGAGCTTATTTGGTCCAAATAAGAAAAATTGTCCTACAAATTTCAGACATATGTAAGAAAAGTTGTAATGCTTAGTAGACACAGAAACTGAGTCATGTTTCTGCTGTGTGTTGCCTTTAACCTGGTTAGACTATTGATAAATTCCATGCAGTTGATTCTGAGAGTGATTTGCACTCTACAGTAATGACATTAGCACTTGCAATTTTGTAACCAATGGCATAGAAAGGCCACACAGCGTCTCTGAAAGCCAACTCTTCAGATGAATAACTGCTGTTTGATTATCTGGAAAACCAACCTAAAGTAACAATCTTTGTTGATGCTTGCTCAGATCAGGTGGACCAAAACAGCAGGAAGTGCCTCTGACAGATTCCAAGACTCAAGTGTCTTCAATGAGACTTTGAGGATTACAAACATTCAAAGACACCAAGGTGGCCGCTATTACTGTAAAGCAGAGAACGGCTTGGGGTCCCCAGCAATAAAGTCGATCCGAGTGGATGTGTACTGTAAGTAAACTTAAGCCAATGACTGTTTCTACTAATTCACTTCTACGCTTCTGAAAATTAACAAATACAGTTTCTGTAGCTGTGAATGAAAATTTTATATGATAGTGGTAATCCTTTAAGGAATATCTTTTTTTTTAATCGGTTCTTCTACACATGGGTGGGATTTTAGAGAGGTCAACGGGCAACTTCGAGTGTTCTTCATCAGGTCTAGACTACAAGTGTGTGTCACCATGCCTGACATTTACTCGTGGAGTTTGAAGACAGAAACCAGGTGCTGAAGCTTGCATGGTAGAAGCATTTATTAACTTTGCTATTCCCTAACTTGCTCTGAGACATTTCTGAGAAGGGAAATTTCACTCCAAATTTTCATCACTTGTGACATAATACATATTCATACATAATATATAATATCACATTAATCAGATGGTTATTATTATCGGTAAGGCCAAAGCCTCTTTATATGTAGTTTTTACACAAATTCACATATACTTTTTATGTTTACATGTGTGGCACTTTGCAGTTGGTTTCCATAATTTCATTGGGAGTGGCACTATTAGGAAGTATGGCTTTAATGGAATAGGTGTGGCTTGGTTGGAGGAAGTGTATCACTGTGGAGGTGGGCTGTAAGGTCTCATATATGCTCAAGTCAATCCCAGTGTCTAAATTCACTTCCTCTTGCCTGTTCAAGATGTAGAACACTCAGGTAAGTCTCCAACATCGTTATCTGCTTATATGCTGCCATGTACCACCATGATGATAATGAACTGAACCTCTGAATTGTAAGCTATCTAAATTAAATATTTTCCTTTATAAGACTTGCTGTGGCCGGGCGTTGGTGGCGCACGCCTTTAATCCCAGCACTTGGGAGGCAGAGGCAGGCAGATCTCTGTGAGTTCGAGGCCAGCCTGGTCTACAAAGTGAGTTCCAGGACAGCCTCCAAAGCCACAGAGAAACCCTGTCTCGAAAAACCAAAAAAAAAAAAAAAAAAAAAAAAAAGACTTGCTGTGGTCATGGTGTCTCTTCACAACAATAGAAACCCTAACTGAGACAACATGTAAGTACATATCTTCACATATATATCTTCTTTTTTATTATTCAGAGTTTCTCTATGTGTACCTCCAGCTGCCTGGAACTTACTCCGTAGGTCAGGCTGGCTTCGAATTCAGAGATCTACCTACCCTTACCTCCCAAGAGCCATCATTAAAGGCTTGCACCACCATAGTCTTGCACACATCTATATATTAATGAAATTCATGAAGAAAGTATATTTCCATAATGTACTCTGACTTACTTAATCATTTTACCTGTGTACAAAGTCAACCATTCTCACTTTAATGCACATTTTGTATGTAAGCACAGTTATCTGCATTGCCTTGTGGAGGACCACATTTCTCTTTCTACAGCAAATTGTTATAAGTAACCATTAGTGACCCTGAAAACACAGTGCCTTCTGGACAATGTTGCTTGATTTGTTCATTATGTCACATACTCCTACTTTTCTTTCTTCACAATTGTGTTTAGAATCTTCTGCTCTCTTTTCTTCTTTCACCAGCAAAGAAATTAAGTGCCGGCATTTAGTTGAGTCTTTTACACAGGTTCATCTGGCACTCTTGTTGTTTTCACATGAAATGACATTTATTTTTAAATCTCTAATATTAGAATGCATTTTTCTCCCCTTAAAGTAATTCAGAAATAATTACAAGTGAGGGGTTCCTGTTTCCCAGCCTGTTTTCTTTTCATTCTCTTTTCCTGTTCTTTCAACATAGTGCAGGTGTTACATAGTTAGGGAGAGGCTAGAAATTATCAGTGGTCTATTCATGGAGCTTATGCTGGGCTCATTTATTTATGGAGACAATAAGGAAGGAAGTAGTGACAGCAGCATTTGTGATTCATCTTCCACAGTTCACTGCTTGTTGCCCTCTTGTGTGTGACAGAAGCCTGTGTTCCAATCTGTCCAAGATCTTTTATGATCTTTTAACTGCAAGACATCCACTGATATGATACTGTCAGGACCAACCTATGTGCCACACTTATCTCCTATGTATCCAGGTTGACTATACCTGTGTACTTCTCTGCCATAGTCAAGCACCAACTCTCCACTTAAGTTCTATACAGTGTGAACATATTTGTAATCAAACTGAATTTTATTTACATGAATTAAATAATCTGTTATTTAGTTACTGTAAACTAGTTAATTAACTATATTGCTATTTCCTTGTAAGTTAGGTCATAATGTTTAAATACAAATCTCTAATATCTTGAAAGTAATTTAAAATTCTAAAATGTTCTAAAAGTGAATAGATGGTCTTTTGGGGTTTATTCTTCTGTGTTAGGTTAATGCCTGTCAAGTTCATATAAATTGGTTGGCAGCAAAATGTGACTGGAAAATCTGTAAGTACAAAATGTTCAATTTTAATGTACTTTTTATTTACTTTATTTTGCAAGGACAAACATATTTTGCTCATAAATCTTTTTTGAATACAGTATAGCCATCAGTCCTGCTATGGGTTTTTTTATATCATATGGTGTATACATTGTATTTTTCCAAATGAAGTCTTATCTTCTGAACACAGTAGTAACTAGTTTTCAATAAGGGTTTCTGAAATTTGCTATCACATTGGACTTGATGGCAATAAAATATGTGCCATTGGGGCTTTAAAAATATATGCAAAGCAAGAAATAACATATGAGGAGTTTTAAAAGATTTTTTTCTGTGACTAACCCTTTCAATACCATCCTGTGTTACTCCTTTTTACAAGTGGGTTATGCTTCTGTAGTTGATGCTACCCAGCTTTCTAGGATGACACTGCTGCCCATCCAGTTCCCCAGCTCCTCTGTTTTATTAAAACGCTAATCAACCTCATGTAGCCATGTTACCTTCTACCCATTGAATTTCTTTGTGGTTTTCTCTTGGAAATAATTTAAGCTTCACAAACACATTATTCTATATTATCAGAGTGAAATAATACTGAGATATGCGCCATGGTTAAGTTATTTTTCTGTGCCTTTCTGATATGGAGATCATGAACTAGTCATCTAAATTTGACTAAATTTGTATTAAGAAATGTAACATCTCATTGGGATGAATTACCCAGGTAATACCATCAGCTCCCATGATAAATTCATAGTGTAAGAATCAGGTATTTTCCCATAATTATACATATTCATATGTGTATGAATAACTTCCCTCTCATAGTAAATTTTAAAAGTTTTGAGTGATAACAATATATCATAGTAGAGATAACTAACCTATTTGAAAAACAATTTTCTGAATATAAATTTCAATGAAAGCCATAGTACTTAGGTTTGTATGTCATATGTTTTCATTTAGTACATGAATCTAATTTATAACAATCCATCATTAAAAAAAAACATGACTAACATAGCAATGTTGTGTTTTCTTTTCACATTGTGACAAAATATCCATAGTTGGTTGGCCTCTTTAGTCTAGGCAGAACATTGATATGTCCTTTTGTAGAGCAGAAGAGTTGCTTCCCCTCATGGAAGCAAACAAGCAAAAATTCAGAGTGTAGTGATGTGGTTTGATAGAAATGTTTCTTACATGCAGAAAGATGGACCTTTTATGGGATGTCACAGTAGAGTTAATGGAATGCCATGATATCCCTCAACACTTGGCATGCTTCCTATTGTGTCAACAGCCTTTCAGTTCAGCCAGCCTTTAAAAGATGAGTGCAATACCTTTAACTTCCTGTATGTGCAGGCTTAGGTGAGAATGCCCTCCACGGGCTCATATGTTTGAATGTTGTATCCATAATGGGTAGAACTGTTGTAGGAAGGATTAAAGGGTATGGCCTTGGAGGAGGTGTGTCAATACGGGTGGCTTTGAGGTTTCAAATGCTTTCACAAGGCTTCGAGTCTTATTTTCTGTCTCCAACTTGTAAGAGTTAGATATAAACTCTTAGCTACCACCCCAGTGCCATGCCTTCCTGCTTGCTGGTTTGCTCCCTGCCCTGATGATCAAGGCCTTATCCTCTGACACAGTAAGCAACCCCCTAATTAAATGTTTTCTTTATAAGTTGACTTTGTCGTGGTGTCTCTTCACAGTAATAGAAAAGTAGCTAAGGCATCATATAACTTTTACAACCTAAGTTAATGTACAGCTTTAATCTTTTTCTTTCTCTTTTTTATTTAAATTAGGAACAATCTTGTTTTACATGTCAATCCCAGTTCCCTCTCCCTCCCCTTCCCCCATGGCCCCCACTGGTCCCCTATCCCTTCCCAGGGAGGGTGAGGTCTTCCATGGGGATCCTCAAAGTCTGTCACATCATTTGGAACAGGGTCTAGGCCCTTCTCCATGTGTCTATGTGATTTGGGCTCCCAAAGTCCAGTTGTACAATAGGAATTAATGAATTAATACTGATCCACTACCAGAGGCCCCATAGACTGCCCAGGCCTCCTAACTGATACCCTCGTTCAGGGGTTCTAAGTTGGCTCTATGCTGGTTTCCTAGCTATCAGTCTGGAGTCCATGAGCTCCCCCCTTGTTCAGGTCAGCTGTTTCTGTGGGTTTCTCCAGACTGACCTTGACCCCTTCACTCCTCCCTCTCTAAAACTAGAATTATGAGTTGAGCTTAGCTGTGAATCTCTGCTTCTGCTTCCATCAGATACCGGGTGAAGGCTCTAGGATGTCATATAAGGTAGTCATCAATCTAATTATAGGGGAAAGGAATTTAAGATAACCTCTCCACTATTGCTTAGATTTGTTAGTTAGGGCCATCCTTGTAGGTCTCTGAATATTTCCCTAGTCCCATATTTCTCTTTAAACCTATAATGGCTCCCTCTATTGTGGTATCTCTCTTCTTGCTCTCCTCTATTCTTCCCCCTTCTCACTCCTGTCCTCCTCTCCCCTCTTCTTCTCCCCTTCTCTTTCTTCTAACTTCCTCACCTCTCCCCTCATGCTCCCAGTTTGCTCAGGAGATCTTGTCCCTTTTCCCTTCTCTGGGAGACCATGTATGTCTCTCTTAGGGTCCTCCTTGCTTCCTAGTTCTCTGATGGTATGGATTGTAGGCTGGTAATCCTTTATTTTATGTCTAATATCCATATATGAGTGAACAATACCATGTTTGTATTTTTGTAATTGGATTACCTCACTCAGGATGGTTTCTTCTAGTTCTATACATTTGCTATTGAATTTCAAGATTCCATTTTTTCCCCACTGAGTGGTACTCCATTGTGTAAATATACTATATTTTCTTTATCCATTCTTCAGTTGAGAATCATCTAGGTTTCTTCCAAGTTCTGGCTATTACTAATAATGCTGCTATGAACATAGCTGAACAGATGTCCTTGTGTGAATGTGCATTTTATCTTAAATTATGTACTTTCATCCCCTTACCCTGAATAATGCATGTTCATATGTGTGTTGTGATATTCATTTGCTGAAAGTAGCCAAAAGGTTGAAAGCAGCCTTATGCAATAAATACCCACCATAAATGTTGTGAGCAAAATGGATATAACTAATAATGTCTGTCTTCAGTATTGTATTATACTTTGAGTCAACACAAGTTAGTAAGGTGAATTATCTATCCCCTTGTAAAACTCTGTTAAATATGTTTAGAAAGAATATCTTGCCTTGTTCCTATGCTGTGTTTTCTGTGTTTCCCTGTATCCAGAACATAGCACTTTGTTAAGAACAGAATGGATAGATAAAATAGATTCAGAAAGGAGACTGTCAGGCTACCAGTAGACATGCATAACAGACAAGCTACACACAGGCTGAAGATACAGGTAGAAGAGTAGAGAATTAAAATTTTCACTTGCTCTTGGTCAAATTAATCCAGAAGAGGAAGTGCTATGTTTATACTCTTTAATTAAAGAGTACATACAAAAAAGACTACAGGAAATGTGGGAGCTGGTAACAGAAGGCACAAACAAGCTGTAGGAAAAGAGATGCAATCAAAATATGCTACAATGTTCAACAGTGAAGAATGCTTGCATAAATACAATAACATCAGAACCTGGTCTAACAAAAAGTGGAATTTAAATATGTGGTAGATATGAGAGGATTGGTATATGAGAGTGAAAAAAATTTTTCCATGGAAGGAAATAAGTAGACCAATATGAAAGAAGAAAACTAAAAGTATAAAAAACAGTGAAAATAGTACAGCAAAATTAAATGTGAATGGGATGCCTTTGTAAAGGATACTGCTGAGCATTAAAAACACCCAGGCATTCCTGAAGTGGTGGTATATGACTTTCATCCTGTCCTAGTTCAATTCCAGGAGGCCACTTCACAAACTGCTAAACATAAATGATTATTTCCTGTTAGTTTGGTATTTCTGTGGAACTACCGTGGGAATGGGGTGTTTCTAGCTCTCTTGCTGCTCTTGGGAGTCTTTTCCTCTGACTGGGTTGCCTCCCTCAGTCCAAAATGAGGGTTTTTACCTAGTCTTGTTGTATCTTTTTAAGCTGTTTGATATCCCTGGGAGGCCTGCATGAGTATTTAATATTGACCCCACAGATATGTCATAAGTAAAACACAGACAACACTTTAGGCAATGTTGGTGAAATATTCTGATAATAATTTTCCTAACTTTCAAAAATAAACTCTTTCAGGGCCATCTCTTCTACTATTTGTTTACATGCTGATTATGGTGAAATTTTTAAAATATTTAAAATGATAATTTAAAATATTATGCAACTCATCGTAAGGCTAAAAATGTATTTATTATTTATATTGTACCTTCAGTGAATTTCACCTATTTAAGAAGACAAACAACATATGAATTTATTTAAGTGGATTAGAGCAGCTAAGTAAAAAGTATAATGACATCAATTCACACAACATTAAATAGTGATAGTGTGGCATTGTCACAGAAAATAGATTGCCAGGAGTAAAGGGCTAGTAAGGCCCCTTAGTGTGAAAGAAGTAAGTTGAGAGCAGTTGCTTCCAGGAATGTCTATGTGCTTTAGTCCAGTTTGTGTCCTGAACTCACTTCTCACCAGTGTTTATGGAACAAACAAACTTGGACAGTAGGACACAGATTTCCTTAGGAGAAGACAGGAGTCTTGTTTCCTGACCATGATCACGAAGATAATATGTACCTGAGGGAAAAGAGAAGCTTGTTTTCACTCTAGGCTTTTGTAAAATGAACATTTTCAATGCTCAGTGTTCCTTGTCTGTGTTACAAAAGTACTGTGTGCAAAGAATACACTTGGGGACCCCATCTTGCCCTCAAAAAAGTTGAGGAGAAATGTAGTCCATGAAAGCACGAAGCTGGTATTTACACCTGCGACTTCATTAATAGTATTTTTGCTCTATGTCCAAGAAGACCCTTGTCCTCAAGCATCCATGAAAGTATGATCAACTATATGTTAGCCAACAGATAGATAAAATAAGAGAACTCTCACAGTTCCTGACCTAAAAAAGTTAAACTAAGTAATAAAAGGTTTAAAAAAGGCCAAACCCATTATTCAATGGATGAATTTGTTTTGTTACATTAACAGTAGGGTTTATTAAGTAGGGAGCAAGAGCGAGAGAGAGAGACAGAGACAGAGAGACAGAGACAGAGAGAGACAGAGAGACAGAGACAGAGAGAGACAGAGAGACAGAGACAGAGAGACAGAGAGAAGAGGTTACGAGTGAGATAAAGGAGAAGAGAGTGAAGTAGGGGTGACCACATGTGGGTGCTCACTTAAGATGAGAAGCTTGCATGTGCTTACTGAGTCCTTATGCAGCCATGTAAGTTGTGATGTAGTGATGATATGGCCACCCTACTGTGTATGCCCTGCCTGTTTTCAGGGGGCAGGGTCAACATAGTGTTGAGTTCCAACAGATACCAACAGTATTGCATGGTGACAATACTCTTGAAAGCTTAACAATGAGAAAATACTGGGCTTCTCCCATCATTTAGACATCAAAAGTAATTTCATCTAACAGAATGTTTCTGTGGAATTCAATTCATAAATCATATTTATTAGGTCTATCTTATTATGGGGTGCAAACTTAGTGCTACAGTATCCTACTTTCAGGTAACCTTTAGAAAATCCACTTTCCTGTAATAGGCACTAAAAATTAATAAGTAAAAATTCCAAGGAAAATCATTCCCTTCTTTATCATTAAAATGAATTTAATTTAAACACTATACAATGTACCAGGCATGGTGGAGCCCTAGTTGCAGAGGCAAGGGGATCACAAATTTGAGACCAGCCTGAGACTTAGAAGCAGCATGGAAACCCTATCACAAAACTCCCAGGGGGATACAATGTACATTAGTTGTAATACAACTACCAAACAGGTGCAGGGATCTAATTCCCAGTAACTTATCCCCAATGCTGTGGCTGCTGGCTGCACTGGAACATGTTCACATGACCAAAATGCCTCACCTTGAGCTCAGGCCTCCTACTTCAAAACAGTTTTTCATATAACTTCCATGGAAGGTTTATAAGGTTCTTCAGGATAAGTCATTCTTTGTGGAAAAATATTACAAAAACAAAAAATAGCAATTCACCAATCCATTGACGTCAGCAAATTTAGTACACACACACACACACACACACACACACACACACACACACACACACACACACACGGATGCAGCAGTCCCCCGGCATTTAATGTCTAGTTTAAGTGGTTTCTTGTATCTTCTGAAGAAGATACCCCATCTGCCTATTCAGGTTGGGCTGGCCCCTTCTAGTCTTTTTGCTCAGGACTTTGAAAGTTTCCAACTTCTTTTGTAGAGCCTCTGAGCCTCTTCTAGCTCTCGCTTTCTCATTTCAAATTCAAATTTCTTAGCAGCATGCTTTGCTTGTATCTGCTCATACTTTTCTTGTGCCTTTTGATTTGAAGTTTTCTTTTTCTTTGGAATAGTGACAGAATTTAGCGTACACAGCTGTTGTGGCTGAGACTGGTGATCTTCAGACGAAGTCTGTTCAGTGTTACACTCTTCTTCAGACATAGGCTGGTCAACTTGTTCTTCTGGGGGAGGCAGACCAACCTTTCTCCGCTGTTTCCTGAGTCTTTCTTCTTCAGCTAAATAGAGGTGTTTCAGATGGTCTGGGTAATGATCAGTGAACTGGGATTCCTGTGATGTTGGTGCCTTCTTTACCTTCCATTGCAATTTCTTGTAATTTTGCTGGATTTTTAGTTTCCTCCAAAATGCAAGCACCTGTACCTCTCGAATGCTCCCAGGGAAGGCTTGCTGGTAGACAGGCCTCCAGGTCCTGCATTTCCCACTTTGGTTCTTGAATCTGCCCTGAGATGTCCCTTCCTCATGCCCTGCAAATCTCCCGGTCTGCCACGTCGAAGATGGCCTCACTGGCAACATTTTGCACCACTTTGGTTTGAAAATTTTTTTTTACTAAAGACACAAATAAAGAATTATAGAACAGCTTTCAAGGGAATACCGATTAAGTTGTTGAGTTTTAGAAGGAATGAGAGATTACTTCGAAAGCTGGATTGTTAAATAATTTTGAAATATTACTGATGATCCCTTAGATCTAATGAATGGCAATCTACTGAACACTGTAGAATAAGAAATGGTAGTGTTATGACCTCAGGCTTACTGATGAAGTGTGTTCTCCAAGCTAACACATTGCTTCCTCTGTTATAAAAGGCAATTTCATTGATTATGTCCCATGTGGAGAAAGAAGGGGCAGTCTCCCCAGCACATGAGGTTCTGGATTCTGATGCTCTCATTCTCAAATGTGTTTGTCACTTGCAGAATCTTGAGGATATTTAAGTAATTTTCTAAGAATTTGATCGCCTAATACTTTTACTTATTTCCAGACATGACGGTGATGTTCAACAGGGTAATAGAGGTCATACAACTTGAAAGGTTAGGGTTTGATTAAAACTTATTCTTAATTCAAAAAGAAATTGGATTCAGAGGCATTAGCTTAATAAGTTTTCATGTGTTCAGCCACTACTCACTCACAAATGAAACAAATCTTTTCCAATATTCATTAAACATTTGCGAGCATTCTTATTTCAGAAATATCTTTTTCAATCTCATTTGACTTATGTAAATTTTCGTATTTCATTACATTTAGACCAGAACATTTTTTAGTATGTGTCATGAGGTTTATTATTTATTACATTTACACCCAAGAAATTAATTAAAGAAGAGTTGCAGGCATGCTATTGATTTATTCCACAGACAAAATCTACCTGTGTTAATATTACAAACTGTACATTTAAAAATGATAAGAGGCCTAGATAATCTATTGAGCCTTGGGCAGTAGATCAGTACTCATCCCGAGTATACACATGGACTTTGGACTCCCATCCAACAATGTGAGATGCACTCTCACCCTGAACTCTTGGGGGAGGGTCTAGGCCCTGCCCTGTATGAAATAACAGACTATGGACACCCTCCCTGGGGAAATGAGGGGATAATGGGGGGGGGGGTTGGGGGAGGGCACGGGAGGAGGGGAGGGAAAGGGAGAGGGACCTGGAACTGACTTGTGAAGCAACCTTGTTTCTTATCTAAATTTAAACTGAAAAATAAAAAAAGAAAGAAAGAAAGAAAGAAAATATAGTCTGGGCAGATACTGAATGTCATTTGGCTATAAAAAGCAAAAAAAATGATGACAACAATGAATTGCTGTTACTTTTAATTTTATGGAACTCATCAGCATGGCTTTTGGACAAAAAAGTTTAGAAAAAGAGCTTGAAAGCTGATGTGAATTCTAAAAGCTCTCCAGTGTCAGGGGGGTCGCTGATCCCCAGATAAATCCCACCAAGCATCTGGTATACCCCTTACCTTCCCCAAACAATAACCACAGCCTTACAAAGTCAGAAGAGTGTTTCATATGGTGATTATAGTGTCTATTGAAATGGGTGGTTCTCATACCAATCACCCTATTAATAAAATTCAAGACTGGTATTTGCAATTTTAGGTGTCACTTGTGAAAGAAAAGTGTTTCTTGGCTCTGTTATTTACTGGTAATGTCTACACTAACATAATTCCTCGACAGCATCACAAGTCTTAATAAAAGACCTTAGAAATAGACAAATAAACAGACATGTAATGATTTTAACATGATTGTTTAAGTGCCATGTTCTCTTCTTGCTCAGCTTATTTTGCTGTGATAGAGTCTCAGAGTATCAACAGTCATCAAACCATCCCCAGTCAGTGGCTTGTGAGTTCATAGTGTCACCCAAAAATAATAAGGAAGAGATGTAGATTTATTAGGGGAAAATGAGAACTCACAGCAGTGGGAAGGATTTAAGAAACACTAACTCCCAGCATTCCAGGTGATGTTTGTGGCTCTTATGCAGAGTTCAATGGAGACTAAGTCATCTTTATTGAAAGTGGTCATCTGAGCATGTCACTGAACAAATAAGGAGTCTACACTCTGTGCCAAACCTGAGAGTTACCCTCCTTTGTAGGAGGGATTATGTATTCTATGTGACCAACTACTGATCCATCCTGGACTTGCTCTTGCTCTCTGAATGGAGCTGTCTATCGCTCATCTTAATATCAAGCCTTTCTATTGCTTCTTATGCAAAAGACATGAAGGTAGTGTCACTTTTGGATCAGGCGAGCCTTCTCTTAATAAAACTGATTATATATTCATTATAGTTGAAAAGGCTTTCTAGAGGTATTAACACCAACTTGACTGTTTCTAGAATCTCGCAGATACATAGTCAGAATGGCAACCAAAATTTCTCTGTGGTGCTCTGCACCTGACCTTGCTGCCTTCGGGTTTTGTGTTCACTCACCCTGATTTTCCAATCCAGGACATTCTATGATCTACTTTGACCTGAGGCACTGGAAGCCACATCCAAGTAGAATCTGTCTATTGCCAATGTTATCGAGGTTTTACTGGATTTAAATACTCTACTAGAAGATTTGCTGAGAGTTTAGAAAGTCGAATTCCAAGCCCCATGGCCTAAAGAAAGTCTATAATGAGTTGAGGATTTGAAAAATAAACATTTAAAGACCATAGCTAAAGTTTAATTTAGTACCTGTAAAACAATTTGCATATTGAAAGTACGAAGCTCCAAATTACATAAAGGATGACATTAACTCCTATTAAGTATATGATGATCAGTTGGATAAAATCTGTTGAATACTGAGAAACTCTATGAAGTGAAAATTCGTAATGCTTTCCACAAATACTGCTGGCTATTAGCACTTGTATCTATGTTTGTTCTGTTGTTGTTGTTCATCGTCCACCTTTTCCATTAAGGTTTTCCAAGTTCTGACTTAATTATAAAAAAGATATTGGTAAATTATAAACAGTTAAATCTGTTGATTAAACTGATCAACAGGCTCTTAAAAACACAGCTCACAGGCTGTGTGGGATTCTTTAGTCAGAGGTTAAATGGCTAGCAGATGCTCCTGCTGAGTCAGGCAGAGATTCCAGAATGGCATCCAGCATTCTGCTCTCCAGTCAATTCATCAGTGCCCTGAATGTAGCTCTGCCCTGAGGGCCAAATCTGCTGCTGTCAGCTCTGAGCTGTGTGCACACTTTACTACAAAAAATAAAACACAGAATGAATATTACATGTAAACAAACTTGAAATTTTAAAATAGTTTACACTTTTCAAATGCATATGCTTTCCAAAAATATCTGGTAACTTCTGATTGACTGATGGTGGCTGGCAAACAGTTGAAGAATGAAAGGAGAAGGAGTAAGAAGGCACAGAGTGTCAGGAATGGGGGATCCACACTTTGGTAAGTATTCAAATGTAAAACAAAGGTGTAATGGGAACAGTTGCCCTATTCAGAACTCAGAAAAGCAGACAGGTTTAGCAGTGATGCATGATGGGAGTTGTGTAAGCTACCTTGGGAGAGGTAGTGTTTCTCTGTGTCATGCCTTCAATAAGGGCTAGAGTTGTTACCTTATTTTGACCAGGAAGCCTAAGGAGGGGCAGTTGTTAAGTTCTTCTTTCTAATGTTACTAGAGAAGCAGAAAGTAGTATCCAAAACTGACTTCAAGAGATGGGTCCATCCTCAGTTACCTCCAAGGTTTCAAAACTAACTAATACCATGCATCAACTCAAATAACTTAAAATAACATTTGTCAAGTAGTTTCATAAAATGTACAGGAAAATTCTTCATAGAAATTTCATATGCCCTGGATTTATGTGAGATAAGAAGTTCCTTAAAACTGAAATGATGTCTACCTACAACTTTAAGGTTAAGAATATTGTATTTTCTAACTAATAAAGGAAAAGAACTTACAAGAATATCAATGACTTCTGACATCACCATAATAATTCACATTCATTCTTATTGCTAAGATGTTAGAACTCATGAAACATAGTGATTAGAGTAATATAGGATAATGCTGAAGAATCTGAAGATTACCCTAATTTTAATCTCTTAAACTATTTCATGGAATGAAAATATATACATCCCACTTGAAGACATTGCAATGATTTTTTTAATTGATGATCCTGAGTTTGTCACAAGCCTTAGAATATGAAAACCCAAGTGTCTTTTGGCATCTCTGAGGCAAACATGTAATCAAGGCACCTGTATGGCTGTGAATGAAGTAAATTAATGTTTAATTTTAAATATTTTCAAATGTCCATTCCTTTGAATTATACTTTATATGTAGAAGGAAACCTGCAAAGAATGTACTTTTTATTTTATATTATTTACATTTTTGTAATGTTCTTATTTAAATTAGAAACATGAATGCTTCACATGTCAATCCCAGCTCCCTCTCCCACCCCTCCTCCCTTGTCCCTCCACCAGCCCCCAGATTTATATTTTTTAAAATTTAAATTAGAAACAAGGTTGTTTCACATGTCAGTCCCAGTTCTCTCTCTCTCCCCTCCTCCCACACCGTCCCACTGGTCCCCCCACTCCCCATCTCCACTCCATTCCCCAGGGAGGGTGAGGCCTTTCATGGGGGATATCCAGAGTCTGTCATTTCTTTCAGGGCAGCGCCCAGGTCCTCCCTCAAGATTCCTCATTATGGGATGGGCACCCAAAGTCCATCTGTATGCCAGGGATAAATACTGGTCTACTACCCGATGCCCCATAGTTTGCCTAAGCCTCCTCACTGACACCACATTCAGGGGGTCTAAATCAATCCCATGCTGGACTCCCAGCCTTCAGTCTGGGGTTCAAGAGCTCCCTCTTGTTCGGGTCAACTGCTTCTGTGGGTTAAACAAGTCTAGTCTTGACCCATTTGCTCATCAGCCCTCCCTCTCTGTCACTGGGTTCCAGGAGTTCACCTCAATGTTTAGCTGTGGGTGTCTTCCTCTGCTTCCATCACTCATTAGTTGAAAAAAACTTTGCTCTACATACTAGACATGTTCTCCAGTAGAACTGGGGATAGCTTGGGGGAGATGAGAGGGAATGGACGAAGGGATCAGAGGGAGAACTCTGGTTGGAATATGAAATTAAATTTAAAAGAATAAATTATTTTTAAAAACTCTCATCTTATTTCCTTAGTCCCTACCAGTAACTTTCACTCACTCAAATTCTG